GCACTTCTCATCGCCCAAGCGGTGCAGGCTTTGACAGAGCGTTCGCTGCGACAGCTGATGCAAATTTCTCAGCTCCACTGGCTCCACTCCAAAAGTCTGGAATGTTCTTGACATGGTTCCATACTTCCAGATGTTGTTTGACGATGCTTGAGCAGTAGTTGCAGTTTGACGCAGCTCACTTGCAAGGCTTGGGATTGCCTTTTCTGGCCCTTCTAGGGAAGCGGGAGTGCAGCTGACAAATTGAAATGCAGTCGGCACTAAAAAGTTGAAGTGGGTCCTGCTTTCCCAATCCAACCTGCCCACCCACCAACCCATCCCAATCCATCCGTAGATCAGTTCAGGCATAGTCCATATATTCAGTTCGTCCTTCCTTCCATGCATGTACGCGTTTCTCACAGATGGCAGGTCCAAGAATTGCAGCCAGCAACTGAGAAAGAGATACCTTCACTGTTGCTTGAACTCATCTCCGTGCTTCCAGTGATGAGCAAATACACACACACACACACAGCACGGGCCCAGCACGGGGAAATCGTGTTGCTTCCGGTGGGAAGTGATAGTGTCATGGTGAGACTTGTCACAGTTGCCCAGGCGCAGTCTCATGTGGCAAAGCATTGACTCGTGGCTTTCGCTTCTTGGAATAGATGTGTGTTTCTATCGATGTGCAATGTCTTTCAGCTTTGATTGTCCTCCGTCTCAACGGCTTGTCCATCCAGTTTCCTTTTGTTCCATCGACGGCACGACCAGACACCTTCTGTATTCTGATTAATTCTTGACGGAGAGAAGTTGAGTGGATCGACAGTTGAGCACCGAGTCGACCTTGAGGTTGGGCACTTGGGACAGTGCCGGAGATACTGCCCGGCTTGTACCAAACTTGGATCTTGCAAAGAACAGCTTACGTTCGGGAACACTTGGCACAGACATATCTTACCACAGCACTGGAATTAGCTGGCCCATTCCCAGCCATTCAGTAATGTCTTGTTGATGGAGTCGGTATGTGTTGGTACAACGTGTTGGTAATGGCCTCAGCAACTTTTGGGTTTCGCTGCATTCTTGGCACTTGTCATACGTTGGAAGCTGGGTCAGGCGCGTAACGCGAAGGTGTGATGAGGTACCTCCATGGGTATCTCCCTTGGCGTAGCAAGCCTCCCTGCTACCTGTCTGCCACCTGCCATGTGCCACATGCATGCCTGCATTTATTCTAGCAAGCCGACTGGCTGGTTTAGTGTGTATTGGCTTGGTCACGCTACACAGTGTTCTTTTGTTCTCCAATTGTAGTGTGTAGCCGCAGCTTTCTTTGCAAACTTTGAGCTTGTGGATACAGTTGACTGTTGACTTGCCCAATCTGCTATCAAGCCTGAATTTGACGGAATCCAAAACCACCTGAAACCATTTGCAAGATTTTGCAAGTTGAATTTCTTTGGCGATGGATGTTCTTTATCTCTGCAGCAGTGAGGTGGCCAACTGCGCGGCGCTTGAGTTTGGGTCCTTTGGCGCATGTGGGGTTTTGCCAGTGGGAACCAGAGAGAGGCCTTGGAGACAAGTAAGCGCTTGAGCCAAATGAATAGAGCAAAATGATCCGATAATATTTTGCATATCTATATATATATGTTATATATATATAGATATATATGTATATAGTATAGGGGGAAGTATAGAATTATACATAAAAGTATCATTTTCTCCTCATCAGTTTTGGACTTAACCTTCTACTCTTGAGATTCATGCGCATTTCACTAAGGACATGATATGATGGACCTTGCTCCCTCTCACTCATTTTCACTGCGTGCGTAAATACTCAGGCTTACCTATTTGCCTACAGGCGCAGAAAAATGTTCGTTACCACATTTTTATCCAATATCCTTGAGCTTTCTGTCAACCCATGTCGATTTGGAATTCAGGACCCCAGATCAATCAAAATCAGAGCTTAGTTCAATTTACTTCAGTTGAGCTGCCCAGAGATGGTCTATGAGAACGTTATTCCTGCTGCGAGCACTTCAGCAAATCATTTTTGTACAGACGTCTTGCCAAGCTTTTTTGCCACTCATGCTTTGCACGATGCATATTGTTCGCGGAATTGTTCACATGAAACATGCTCCTGCTAAGCGTGTACGCACCACATGGAACATAGAATAGGTTCTCAAAATCTGTGGCCCTTGCGCGCAGCGTACTTGAACGAACCAAAAAATGCCAAGAGCACAGATACGCAGACTGAGCACCTGTCTTTTGGGGTCAAACATGCTCTACAAGGTTTTGGCGAACCCCAACTTGCCGTTGGGTTAACGTATGTGCAACCTGGAAGGCAAACACAGAGTTTGCGTCACACAATCAGTGATCACAGATCACAGGTTCCAGCAATGGCACCTTTGCAAATGCCCTCGGCACACCCTTGAAATGTTGGGAACACGTGAGGGACATTGAGACTTAGACTTACCATAGACACCAGTATCATTCTATAGTTGGACAAAGTTCACCACCGGAGGCTGGGCCCAAACATAGCCCAACTCCACATCGAACCTAATTGCAGACATAAACAAATTTGTACCCGTCCCTTACAGTTAGAGAAGGGGCAATTTAGAGAAGGCTGTAACAAAATAGATATAGAATGATATAGATCGTGGATGCAAAGTTCCGTTCCAACTGAAGCTGAGCGAACAGCCAACAGGTTTCCTGCACCTCTTGCGACACCACTGCTTTTTCTTAGGGCTGCTAGCAAGCTTTGATTCTCAGGTTGACAAGTGAAGATATGTCAACAGAAGCTGGGATAGCTTTTGCCACCCTCCAGCAAGTTCCGGAGGCAGGTTCTGCAAGCTGCTGCGCTATATCATGCTATACCTCAGGCTTGTTTGAGGGTTTTGGTGGAGTCCACAACGTCACTAGACTCGTCCTTTGCATGCTGCAGGCTGCAAGCACCCAACCGGGTGACCTTCAATCTTTGGAACAAAATATTCACGAAGCCTTGCACCAAGTACTGCAAAACCACAACAAAGACGCGGAAATCTCCATCATGCATCCGACACCGGTTTGTGAAATTAGCTTGGCAATCCCGTTGTTGAAAGTGGCCGTTATGGTGGGCTCGCCAGAAGACTTTTTCCGCGGTCCCCGAGAAGCATGGGCAGATGATAGCGGCATAGGTTGGGGTAGAATGGCCGAGAATGAGTTAGATCACCCGGCTTTGCATGGTGACTTCATATTCAGCCAAGTGGATGATATGGATGGCCTGGATGGACGCGAAGGAGGGGGCTCGAGATTCGAAGTTGAGCCTATTGAGACTCTTGAGACTGACTCTTGGAGCTCCTCAAGCTCCAGCTCCAGTTCTCTTGGACTCTCAACTTGGGACTCCGAAAGGAGTGGAAGCAGTGGAGAGTGGCAACGACTGCCAGCTCTTCGCATGCGCCTTTTGAGGCAGTTGGGATGGAAAATCGTGGAAGTTCCATACTTTGAGTGGCGAAGCCTCTTGAGATCAGAGGAGCAAAGCTTTCTCAACCGACTTCTGCAGAGGGAGTTGCAAAAGATCCGCGACAGTTCAAGGAGAGAGAGAGATATACATATATATATAGATAGATAGATAGATAGATAGATAGATAGATAGATAGATAGACACACAATGAATTATATATATATATATTTGTATATCTATTGAATGTTGAATTATCTATGTATATCTATGTTATCTTATCTATGTATCTATGTATATCTATGTTGTCTTATCTTATGTTACATTATGTTGAATTATTTTGTATTATATTGCATATAACAACTATTACATACCAGTAGTACCGCACAAGGCGGTGGCGGAAGTTTCAAAGATAGGAAACCTATAGGAGAGGTTGGTTGTTGTGAGCCACGGATGGCAGAGCAAATCCACTGATGGACCGAAAGGTGGCTGGAGTTATGTTTTTTGGAGTGGTTGCAATGTTTGCAGTGGTCACCTCACCACAACTGCTGGATGTAGTGTGGTGTAGTGCAGTTGTAGTTGTAGTTGTAGTTGTAGTTGTCGTTGTGGTGTAGTGGTGTTGTAGTTGTAATGTAGTGTAATTAGTGTAGTTGCAGTTGCAGTTGCAGTTGTAGTTGTGGCTTGGTGTAATTAGTGTAGTGTAGTGTAGTGTACTCTAGTGTGGCATAGTGTAGTGTAGCCTAATGTAGTATAGTGCGAAGTAGTGTAGTTGTAGCTTCAGTGTGGTGTAGTGTAATTAGTGTAGTGTAGCGTAGTGTAGTGTAATGTAGTGGTAGTTGTAGTTGCAGTTGCAGTTGTAGATGTAGTGTCGTGCAATGTAATTAGTGTAGTGTAGTGTTGTGTAATGTATGTGTAGTTGTAGTTGTATTTGTAATTGCAGCTGTAGTAAACTGCAGTGTAATTAGTGTAGCGTAATGTAATGCAGTGTAATGTAGTGTAGTGGTAATTGTAACTGTAATTGTAAATTGTCATTGTAATTGTAGTAGTAGTAGTAGTAGTAGTAGTAGTAGTAGTAGCCGTCGTCGTCGTCGTCGTAGTCGTAGTCGTAGTCGTAGTCATAGTCATAGTCGTAGTCGTAGTCGTAGTCGTAGTAGTAGCAGCAGCAGTAGCAGAAGTAGCAGTAGCAGTAGCAGTAGCAGTAGCAGAAGTGGTGTGGTTGTAGTTGTCGTTGTCGTTGTCGTCGGCGTTGTAGTTGTTTGTAGTGTAGTGTAATTAGATGTAATTAGTGTAGTGTAGTGTAATTAGTCTAGTGTAATGAAGCGCAGTATATTTGTAGTTGTAGTAATAGTGTCGTGGTAGTGGTAGTGGTGGTAGTGGTAGTTGTAGTTGTATTTGTAGTTGTAGTTGCCTATCTATCTATCTATCTGTCTGTCTATCTATCTAACTGTCTATCTGCAAGCTTGAAAACGAAGCTATTCTGCGAGACTTCCTCAGTTTTTGAACTTGACAACATCAAAAACGCAGCAATTCTGCGAGACTTCCTCAATTTTTGAACTCGACAACGTCAAAAACGAAACAATTCTGCGAGACTTCTTCAATTTTCGAAGTTGACAACATCAAAAACGAAGCAATTATGGAAAGTTGAGTGCAGAGCTGACGGCCTTGTACCAATGCGTTTTGCGATTTTTTCCATTCAATCTGTCTAGAGTATTGCGCCGGCCACGAAAGAGTGATGCCAGATCATACGAAGTGCTGCGCCTGTCACGCAAAATCATCCTAGCAAACCTCAAGATCTGATGCTCCAAAACGCCCCCTCTCAGGAAATCAATGCCCGGACCTCCTAACATCTGATGAACCCGCCACGCGAAATGCATTTGTGCGGATCTTCTTCAAACGCCGCACGCCTGCCATCGTTTTTGGACATGCGACAAAACCCCCACGTTTTGCTCACTTTTGGCAGGGTGTGCAATCCCTTGCGCCTGCCACGCGAAACGACATCTGAACGTCCAAAAGTGTTCCGGACCCGTCAGTTTTTGCACTTTTGACTTCGAAATATGCTTCGCGCCACAACGGCATGCACTTTTCGACATCTCAACTTCCAAAGCTGCTCCGAACCCTTCAGTTTTTAACACTTTTGACTTCGAAATGTGCTTTGCGCCACAAGCGTGCACTTTTGCGTCCGAACCCGAAATGTGCTTCCCACCAGAGCGGCGTGCACTTTTTCGACATCTCAACTTCCAAAAGTGCTCCGAACATGACGTGCTTTGTAGATTTTGACTTCGAAATGTGCTTCACGCAACAACGGCGTGCACTTTTTCGACATGTCAACTTCAAAAAGTGATCCGAACCTGGTGTGTTTTGTACATTTTTACTTGGAAATGTGCTTGGCGCCACAGCGGCGTCCACTTTTTCGACATCTCAAGTACGAAAAGAGGTCCAACACTGAAGTGTTTTGTGCATTTTGACTTCGAAATGTGCTTCGCGCCACAACGGCGTCACAAATCATTGGAAGAACACATTGAATCGCGACTGTTCTACCTTTTCACGCGCCTGCGTCTTCTTTCCTCTGACTCTTCCTCTTCTCTGATCTTCTCTCTTCTTCTCTTCCCTTCTCTGACTCTTCCCCTCTGCTTTCCCATCTGTCCATATTGTCGGAAGTTTGACTTCTAAACTTCCTTCGCATAAATTATATCTTTTATGTTGGGTTGTATGATTTTTCAATCTTATACATTATATATATATATTAGATATATAGTAGGCGCAGATGACACGGGACTTTGCGGCCGATTTAGCCGAGATTTTTTGGCACATGACATGGTATTTATGTATCGATTTTGCTATGGTCTTTTTAACGCATGACATGGGAGGTATGCGCCGACCTAACAGGCAGGTATTTTTCCATTTTTTGACAGCTGACATGGGAATAAGTTAATAAGTGATCAAATTTACACATGACATGGGACTTCCAGGAAAACACAGACGTCCAAGATGGGAAGTGGCAGGTAATGAGATGGGAAGACGAATTTACCACAGGAGATGGGACGTCCAAGATGGGAAGTGGCAGGTAATGAGATGGGAAGACGAATTTACCACATGACATGGGACTTCCAACATGAAGAGTTGCAGGTAATGCGATGGGAAGACGAATTTACCACAGGAGATGGCAGGTAATGAGATGGGAAGACGAATTTACCACAGGAGATGGGACTTCCGAGATGACATGGGTAATCCTTCAGATTCCTTCAAATTCCGCACCATTCCTTTAAATTCATGAATATATTCTGTACAATTCCTTAAATTTTTGTAAAATTCCTTAATTCTTTCAAATTCCGTAACATTCCTTGAAATTCCATAAAATGCCTTAAAATTCACCAAAAAATCTGTAAAATTCATATTTTCTTATTTTCCAGCTCTTGGTGTGGTGCAGCTGCTCAGCTCCGACCCGTCCGGACGGTTTTCAACATGAATATGCGCTTTACGTTGCAAAGAAAAACAAAGACAACATATAAAAGATGAAAAGCGGCAGGTAATGAGATGGGAAGACGAATTTACCACGTGACATGGGACTTCCAAGATGAAAAGTGGCAGGTAATGAGATGGGAAGACGAATTTACCACAGGAGATGGGACGTCCAAGGTGGGAAGTGGCAGGTAATGAGATGGGAAGACGAATTTACCACATGACATGGGACTTTCAAGATGAAAAGTGGCAGGTAATGAGATGGGAAGACGAGTTTACCACATGACATGGGGCTTCCAGGATGGGAAGTGGCAGGTAATGAGATGGGAAAACGAATTTACCACAGGAGATGGGACCTCCAAGATGGGAAGTGGCAGGTAATGAGATGGGAAGACGAATTTACCACATGACATGGGACTTCCAAGATGAAAAGTGACAGGTAATGAGATGGGAAGACGACTTTACCACAGGAGATGGGACCTCCAAGATGGGAAGTGGCAGGTAATGAGATGGGAAGACGAATTTACCACATGACATGGGACTTCCAAGATGAAAAGTGGCAGGTAATGAGATGGGAAGACGAATTTACCATAGGAGATGGGACGTCCAAGGTGGGAAGTGGCAGGTAATGAGATGGGAAGACGAATTTACCACATGACATGGGACTTTCAAGATGAAAAGTGGCAGGTAATGAGATGGGAAGACGAGTTTACCACATGACATGGGGCTTCCAGGATGGGAAGTGGCAGGTAATGAGATGGGAAAACGAATTTACCACAGGAGATGGGACCTCCAAGATGGGAAGTGGCAGGTAATGAGATTGGAAGACGAATTTACCACATGACATGGGACTTCCAAGATGAAAAGTGACAGGTAATGAGATGGGAAGACGACTTTACCACAGGAGATGGGACCTCCAAGATGGGAAGTGGCAGGTAATGAGATGGGAAGACGAATTTACCACATGACATGGGACTTCCAAGATGAAAAGCGGCAGGTAATGAGATGGGAAGACGAATTTACCATAGGAGATGGGACGTCCAAGATGGGAAGCGGCAGGTAATGAGATGGGAAGAGCAATTTACCACATGACGTGGGACTTCCAAGATGGGAAGTGGCAGGTAATGAGATGTGAAGACGAATTTACCAGGAGATGGGACGTCTAAGATGGGAAGTGGCAGGTAATGAGATGGGAAGACGAATTTACTACAGGAGATGGAACGTCCAAGATGTGAAGTGGCAGGTAATGAGATTGGAAGACGAATTTACCACAGGAGATGGGACGTCCAAAATGGGAAGTGGCAGGCTGGTAATGAGATGGGAAGACGAATTTACCACAGGAGATGGGACTTCCAAGATGGGAAGTGGCAGGTAATGAGATGGGAGGAGGAATTTACCACAGGAGATGGGACGTCCAAGATGGGAAGTGGCAGGTAATGAGATGGGAAGACGAATTTACCACATGACATGGGACTTCCAAGGTGGGAAGTGGCAGGTAATGAGATGGGAAGACGAATTTACCACAGGAGATGGGACGTCCAAGATGGGAAGTGGCAGGTAATGAGATTGGAAGACGAGTTTACCACATGACATGGGGCTTCCAGGATGGGAAGTGGCAGGTAATGAGATGGGAAAACGAATTTACCACAGGAGATGGGACCTCCAAGATGGGAAGTGGCAGGTAATGAGATTGGAAGACGAATTTACCACAGAGATGGGACCTCCAAGATGGGAAGTGGCAGGTAATGAGATGGGAAAACGAATTTACCACAGGAGATGGGACCTCCAAGATGGGAAGTGGCAGGTAATGAGATGGGAAGACGAATTTACCACATGACATGGGACTTCCAAGATGGGAAGTGGCAAGTAATGAGATGGGAAGAGGAATTTACCACAGGAGATGGGACGTCCAAGATGGGAAGTGGCAGGTAATGAGATGGGAAGACGATTTACCACATGACATGGGACTTCCAAGATGAAAAGTGGCAGGTAATGAGATGGAAAGACGAATTTACCACACCAAGATGGGAAGCGGCAGGTAATGAGATGGGAAGACGAATTTACCACATGACATGGGACTTCCAAGATGACATGGGTAATACTTAAAATGCCGAAAAATTCTTTGAAATTCCGTTTTTTTTTTAAATTCCATACTATTCCTTAAAATTGATAAAATTCCCGCAAATTCAATAAATTGCCGTAAAATTCCAAAAAAATCCTGAAAATTCCTTTAATTTCCTCAAACTTCCTATTTTCTAATTTGCCAGCTCTTGGTGTGGTGCAGCTGCTCAGCTCCGACCCCCAAAATGAACATGCGTTTTAGGTTGCAGAACGCAGAACATGTAGAGCAAAGAAGCTTAGTTTTGTTTTTCAGTGTTTCTCTTATCTTTCCATTCTGAATGAACCATTTCAGCGAGGAAACGCGCAAATCATTCACAAAATATGCGCATGCATGGGGCCTCTACAAAATACAAGGCCAAGCATGACAAACATCCAGCACAACCTCTACAAAATAGAAGTCTATCCAATCTACTCCCATCAAAACATGACACAAAAATGCAAAACATGGCCTCTACAAAATCATCTCCTAGCAAACTGGGGTATTGCAAAATGAACCTTCTTTTTTCCCCACCTGCCAGGTGAGGGTTGTTAGATTTTATGTCAGTTGCCTCCTCCTCCTGCTCCTCCTCCTCCGCCTCCTCCTGCCTCGTCCTCCTCTCCTCCTCCTCCTCGTCCTCCTTGTCATCCTTGTCGTCCTTGTCGTCCTCGTCGTCCTCGTCGTCCTCGTCGTCCTTGCTCAACTGGGACCCGCGATCCACAGTGTTCTCTGCCGGACCTCAACCACGACCACCCACGCCCAGTGTTCCCTGCCGGACCTCAACCACGACCAGCCACGCCCAGTGTTCCCTGCCGGACCTCAACCACGACCAGCCACGCCCAGTGTTCCCTGCCGGACCTCAACCGCGAGTATCCACGCCAAGTGTTCCCTGCCGGACCTCATGTAGGAAGATAAAATGTCAGATAGAGTGCCAGAAGATTTGCCAGGTAGAATGCCAGAAAATATGCCAGAAGATTTGCCAGATAGATATGCCAGAAGATATTCCAGAAGATATGCCAGATAGAATGCCAGATAGAATGCCAGATAGA